AAGAAGTAGAAAGACTCCACAGTGTCAATCGTGGAGTCTCAGATGATGATGGGGCTTGCTGGGGCTGAGTTCATCCTGAAGTCCAACAACCATCTCCACTGTTTTTAGAGCGTTGAGCTCCAGGTTGTTCTCCCTGCACCAGGTCGCCAGATGGTCAACCTCCCGCATGCACTTGTCCCCATTAGAGATAAGTCAGATGAGAGTGGTGTCATCTGCGAACTTCAGAAGCTTGATAGACTGATGACCGGAGGTGCAGCTGTTGGTGTACAGGGAGAAGAGCAGAGGAGAAAGAACACAACCCAGGGGGGAACCAGTGCTGATGAGCTGTGAGTCAGAGACACGTTTTCCCAGCTTCTGAAGCTGCTTCCTGTCCGACAGGAAGTCTGAGTCAGGCAAACTCAGATGGGAGAGCTTCTCCTGAAGCAGAGCTGGGATTATTGTATTGAAGGCAGAGCTGAAATCCACAAATACATCCTGGGGTAGGTACCTGTGGAATCCAGGTGCTGGAGAATGTAGTGAAGGGCCAAGTTGACAGCATCGTCAGCAGACCTGTTGACTCTGTAGACAAATCTTGAAGGTGGAGGACAAGCATTTAATTTGACATCCAGTGCCTTAGCCCACTTTGGTTTTACAGCAGTACAATGATCATGCCCTCCTCTGGAACACTGTAGTACAGGCCTTGGCTTAAAACTGATTAAGATACTTTTGGGATGGCCTTTAAACTGGCCGTTCATACTAAAAAATTGTATATTCAGAAGACTGGAAATAAAATTATTCAAGTTCTAAAAAAAGAAATGTGTTGACAGTTATCAGTACGGTAGTTTCTGCAATTATTTCTTCACATTGCTTAGAAATGGTGACCTGTAACATTAACTGAATAAAAAAAACACACAAAAAGAAGGAATCAGTAAATAGGACAATACTCGACCATCGAAACTTTAACTCACTATTATGCACCAAAGAAAAAAGGAACGTTTGATTCAAAAGTATTGAGGAAGTGATTCATCATCAGCCTTTAAAACAGACAGCAGATCAAAGCGTCATGAGCGGAGAGTGATCCATTGAAGGTTTGCAGGTAGATTTTTCGGCTCCTGTAGTGATAATTGAGACACATGATGAAAAATTGCTGATGATAAACTAAACCCATTCCCATTATCGATAGGTGTGTGTTTATTTTTGTGTGTATTTTGATGCTTCTCTTTTCTCTTTTTTTTCTGTTTAGCAGGTTCCTATGGTATTGATTCCTTTAGTTAATTTCCCCCCTGTCATGATCTGCCCTGATGCTGACCTTAATTACTCATTTCATTCACCTGCCATTCCCGTACCGCTTTCTAATTGTTGTTCATCTTATTCACCTGCTCCCTCTGCTATATATACGGTTCAGCCCAGCTATTGGGCCAGATCATTGTTTTCTGTTTGTTTCATGTTTCATGCCTGTATGTTTGTTTAGTTAGTTTTAGTTAGTCCAAGGTTCATGTCCCTCTTCCAGTGAGGAGATTATTCACAAGCCGGTATCTTCAGACAAGTTTATTCATTACTCAGTGATGAGAGCTTCTCAGCATCTGGCCTGTTTGTCTGAACCATCTTTGGACTTCTTTTGGATTCTGCCTCTCTGCATCTGTATGTTTCTGTCTGAGCTCGTGGCTCGACCCATGGAACTCTGAACCTGCCTTCAAGCACCTTGGATTCCTGTGTCTGTTCCTTGTGTGGATCCGAACCCCTGATCGGGCTGCAGATTCCTGTTCTGTTTGATCCGTATCCCTGACTGGAATCGGTTTCCTGCCTGCTCATTGGAGCTGCTGCATCAGTAAGCTCTGGACAGCTCAGCGCCGGATCTCGTTTTGTACTCCATTGGCTGGATCCTGCTTTCCTCTGAGAGGATGGACTGAACTGTTAAACCAGAGTGCCAGTGATGGGTTGTGCCCCGCCCCTCCTGCAGCCGCTGCGATCCGCAGATCCACAGCTTTTTAGTTAAATAAACTTTTTGAACTTTCCTACTGACTGTCTGGCTTTGAATACTGGTTCCATCTGTCCAGCTTTATGAAACCCCATGCTTATCTGCTGTTAGGTGTCTTCCTTATAGGTTTAATAGGGTGTTTGCATAGATATTTTTCATGTGGTTTCTTGTTGCTGTTTTTGCTCTGGTTATTTAGGCCTCCTCCTTTAGCAGCTCTGGCCTCCCTCTGCCACAGCTGGTTTACTTTCCATTTTTTTTACCCTTCCCTTATATAAGCTCTGTTCTTTTCTCAATTTTCTTGATTCTATTGTTTTTCCCACCTTTTTTCATATTTTGCATGCATTTTCCCCCCCCGTCTGCATTCATGTCTGTTTTGTGACTTTATTTAGTTCTCACACCCCTGCAACTGATTCTTTTCAAAATATCATTTGAATCACCTTCTCTCTGCATTTGGTTCCTACTCCAACAACACCACATTCTGACAATCACTTGATAACTAAGGGCCTTTATGTATTTTGTATTAGAATATATAAACTGCATGATTTTAGATAATACATTATAAGGTGAAATGTTTCTCTCTCCATAGCAAGGAAAAATTCATATCACCAACAAAAAAGAAAACCTTTTTTATTAGTGACAAATTTCTTTCTGTCCTTGCATCCACCTTTTTTGCAGGTCTGCACATCTTCTGTCTAGGTACCGGCCTCGCTGCCCAATCATTGCCGTCACCAGAAGCCCTCAGGTAGAGTTCAGTTCAAAACTCTCAGATAAATAGTTGTGCATTTGTTTTGAATTACAGCATAATTGATGAGTCATCTGTTTATAAACACACTGAGTAATATGTGATACACTCATTATTTTACTATCACATTCTGTTGTAAATATTCATAGCGTGGATGTGAAAGAGAAGATTTAAGAAGCAATCTTTGGAGAAAAGAGTGAGCTAAACTTAGAGAACTGAAAGAAAACATGCTCTGCTAGACCGTAGTACCATAGTTCATTCCTCCCAAACAGGGAACTTAAACAGAAAAAATCTGCAATGAAAGGGAAGCTGTCAAAAAGAATAATGTGAGAAGTTAAAATCACAGAGACAAAGCATTGTGGTTTGAATTATTTACATTTTTCATACACAAAAATAACTTAATGCTGAACTTATCCCACAAAATTGTTTTGTGATGACCTCAGGAATACAGGATATTAGAGTATTTTGTTTTAAATGGGTGTGAAGTTTCTTTAAATGAATTGTAAATCCAGTAACTGGAAGTAAAACATATCAAAGTTGACCTCAAATGGCTATTTTATTTTCCACAGGTGGCCCGTCAGTCGCAGCTGTTAAGAGGAGTATTTCCTGCTCTTTTCCACCCTCTTCCTGCTCCTATCTGGGCTGATGATGTTGACAACAGGGTCAACTTTGGCATGGAAATAGGTCAGTGCGTTTTTCTCCATCCCTGTATTTGAATAATGTGTTACTCTTACAGTTTTCTCTATGCTCCATGCAGGGAAAGCAAGAGGATTCTTTAAGACGGGTGACATGGTGATCGTGGTGACGGGCTGGATCCCAGGGTCCGGTCACACCAACATCATGAGGGCAGTGAGCGTCCAGTGACAACTACATACCAGACTTAAAATATGACCCCCGATCGGCCCTGGGAAAGCTTTCTGGGTTTAATAATTGATGATGTTGTAGTGAAAAGCTAAAGCATAGCACAGAGAGCTGTGTCACAAAAACACTATCTCCTGTTTGCTGTATGACAATGAAACATGTACCTCTGAAGCTGGTCTTATGCATGTTGAATAACTCCTTCAAATAAAACTTGAAGCCTAAGCTCCAGATGTCCTTCTATTTATTTCAGGAAGCTGACAAACTGAATCATTGAGCTTCTTTTCTCCAACATTCAATTAGATTATGTCTCTGCATTGTTTGTACATGTAAAACATTAATATAACTACTAGAGGTTAACATCCTCCACTCTTATCATATCAGAAAATCCAACATAATTTTTTTTAGCAGTTACAAGCAGATAATATTTGGGGAATTTATCCACAGAGATGTGCCTTTCTTTTCTATATGTTAAACTATAACCCAAAGAAATTACAAGGCTTACTTATATTTGAAAATAAAAAATTATGATTGCATGTATGCTTCTGGCAAGCTGATCCTGCACTGCACTGAAAGCCTACCTAAAGCGGAACAGAAATATCTTAATGCATTCATCACCAAATACCGTAATGTTTGGAGAATCCCAAGTGATCCAATTAGCGAAAAAAAGAAAAATTATCAGCTATTTTTACATTGATATAATTAAGGGAAACCTGGAAGTCTGAGGACACCAGCCCTACTGGGAAGGATGGGAATGGTAACACAATTTGTTTGGGTTTGTTTTGTTACAGGAGACAGACACTGGTGCATTTTTCAAGTAGAAGATCTGAGAAATTAATCTAAAATATTTACAGAAAGGGATTATCAAATAGCCAATGACAAAAATATCAACAAAGTTGTTGCACAGTGGCCTACGGGCAGCAAAGTAATGAGTTGGAACAGCCATAAAAACCCTCCTATAATAATCCTAAATTTTGACCACAAACCTGAATAAATTACACCAATTCTATATGGAGAAATTAGCCAAAATACCAGCAAAGTATAACAAGAACTTCTGAAAGGAAAATATTTGTTCAAAGTAATACAGGTTAAAAGAAATAATCAAAAGTACAAAAAATGGGGGGACATGATTTGCATTAGTATTTAAAAATCTACAAATCCGTTTTCATTTAGAAATATTTAAAAAAGTAAGGATGCCTAACTAAGGATGAACATTTTAGTCTGATTTTAGTCTGACAGAGTAAAATGTGTGCCTTTTTATACAGTACAGGTAGATATGTGGTCCCAGCTCTCCTCACCCTATAGAGGCTCTCCCATTTTTCCGGCTTTAAGTTTCATCATCACTCCGCATCAGCCGCTCCCTGGTTGCATTGTCTAGAAGGGATGACACGCGACTCATACCTGTGAGACATGCGTGCGTCTTGCGCCAGCCGGGCACGCGGCCTTTAGTGGGGAGGGAGGGGTGGTGATGGGGATGCGGGTGCCATGGTAACAGGACGATTAGATCCGGACCTTTATATCCAGATTTATTTATTTAATACTCATTTCAGCGCGCCTCCGTGGACGTGCAGGCTGTCAGAGTGAGAGAAGTGAGTATAGCCACTCTACTGAGGACCTTTAAAGGATCAACAAGTTGTTATACTCAAGATTGAGGCGAAGGCTCTTAATATTGTGGAGTTGTGGAGAAAAGGCAGCTTCCCTATTCCATGTGTCGAAGACATTTTTCTGTCCTCGGAGAAGGACGCCGCCTGGACACAATGTCATTGAAAGTCGGGTCAAGTGTGAATGGAGTCTGGAGCTGCTTTAAAAGCCTGAAATAACGCGACCAAGTTCCCAGTCTCCGCTCCATCTGTGAGCGCTTCAGTCACGGGTGGACTTTTTTTGTGCGCTTTTCCATCATTTCTCCTTAGAAGCTGACAATCCCTGCATGCCGTGTATTCTCTGACAGCGTGGGGTTTGTTAAGGGGCTGATTTGACTTTTGTGCGCCCCTTCACCGTTTCTTATATTCCGTGCGCGTGTTTTTGCGGACGCTCGGCATGGATCGGTGCGCGTCGGAGTCTGAGCGCCAATATTGGGCGATACTTTCTATACCATAACCATCCTTCTGCTCTGGCTGACTGAAGGAGCGTGTGTCCTTGTCATTTTTCCCCAGCATGGATGTTCCGACCCAAACATCTCTTACGTAATGACAGTGTGTTGGACGGGCGGGGAAAAAAAGCAGCATTTTGATATTCAGTCTGGAAATAGGCGACACCGACGGCCAATGAGCGACCAAGGGTCTTATCTACAGCAGACCGGGAAGCCGGTGCCAATATGACCGGCGCTGGAGCGTTGAGGGCGGCTGTGAAGAGAGGAGAGGGAGGGCCGCGGGCGGAAAGCAACCTTTCAAGGACAAGGAAGGAGGAATGACGGAGAAACATCATTGAGGACAAAGAGAAAGCTGTAGAAGTCTGACTGAAAAAGATGCAGCTGGTGGTATGACAGAGAGTTAGTAAAAATTTCAATCATTCAATCATCTGGGGCCATTTCAAAGGGCACAGAGGTAAAAATGGCCACATTGCTGGAGAGACGGCAGGGGTGTGAGGTGAGAGCTTCATAAGAATGAACTCGGACTCAGATGACCTTTTTACGTCATCTTTTGTTTTATGAAACTGACAGAGATACCTTTACATATGTAGAATAATCTGGACAGGTAATCAACGTCTACAGGTTAAAGCCCCACTCCTTCTCCAAGTGGGTATGGATGGAGTGGCAGGAAGTGTTGGCACCCCTGGAAGCACCGGGGGTGACACCCTGCCCAGACGGAGTGATGGAGAGGCAAAGCGGCGCAGTAAAGGCAGCCTGCCCTCCCCTGGCTACAGGCTGTCCCAGGCCTCTCTGGAGGGAGAAAAGGGCTCCTTCTGCACAGACAGCTCTTCCATGGGTGGACGGGGCCGTCGCCCTTCAATCATGAGCTCCTCCGCCAGGGATGGCCTTCCGTTTCGTGCTGCGGGCACCCCCACCACCCCGGGGACCCTACCCATGGCATTACCACCACCAGCAGCCTCCTCCTCTTCCAGCTCTACACACCCTCCTCCTGCTCCTCGCTCTGTGGGCTTTGCACCATCCCGTGCTGCCCTGGCCTCCACTTCCTCCACTGGAACTGGGGTCATGGTGGTGGCCACTGGTGCAGAGACAACAACCACTGCCTGCAACACAACAGTAGGGACCCCTGAGATGGCATGCCAGTCTGGGCTTGGTGGGTTTGGCATGGGCCTGGATGGAGAGGACTTTAGCAACTCTAACCAGAGCACCTTCATTCAAAGACAGTTTGGTGCCATGCTTCAGCCGGGAGTCAACAAGTTCAGTCTTCGTATGTTTGGGTCCCACAAAGCTGTTGCCATGGAGCAAGAGAGACTCAAATCAGCAGGAGCCTGGATCATACACCCCTACAGTGACTTCAGGTATCATGCCACACATACACATTTAACAGATTTACAGATTTAACTATGAACAGAACCCATTTTACATTAAGGGCAAATTTGTTGTGGTGGAGTAGAAAATAGAAGTGGAAATCCTGATTCCTTTTAGAAAGCACAGAGTGAGCAACAAAAAAGAAAAAGAAAAAAAATACCCAAAAAGCTCCTCTCAGGTTATGAAACCAATAGAGAAAAGAAGGGCAATTAAAGAAAGGAACAGAAGAGACAGGAGAATGATTACCATTGACTTTAAGAAATGCAGATCCAGGGCGACTAATGATAGAGACATTGGTATAGTTTGTGGAATACAGATGAGCAATACATTTATGTGCTATCACAGTGTCTTAGGAGGCCGGATTAAATATGGCCCACACACCAGTGAAGGAAAAATGGGCAACCTGAACCCAAGCTAGTTAATCAGCCAGTTAGTTAGTTGCATTTTTTAGTTGTTCATTCAAATATATAGTGATGAGGTCCTACTCTTTAATGTATATTTTAACACAATCAATTTTTACTTAGATGTTCACTGTGATAAAAAGCAGACATGTGATGCTACAAGTCAAGATTCCAATATGAAAAGTTCACTTGTGCCTTTTTGACAACATGATCACCTGTTTGCCCTTCTGTCCAGCCTGTCTTATTATTGTTTCTTAGTTATAATGGGCAATAATACTATTAAATAAGAGAGCTTTTTAAGATTAATTTTTTTTTTTTTTACTTTCTTAAAACAGCCATGTGTTAAAATTGTTTGTGTTATGTACAGGTGTGTATTCTGGCCTGTGGTTAATGAGGTAGATTTTTATGATAATTTTAAATCCAGGCTTGTTTTGGGCATTTTTCATTTTAAACGCAATAACTGTGTGGATGAACGGCAGAAGGAATGCCTTAGAGACCAGAGCAACAATTGACAATTGAGCCCAAGGCTGCTGCCCCACTTCATCAGGCACACACAGACTGTGTAATATTTTGTATTGCCTGTCAATCAGATAATCACCACAGAGCTATGAAAAAAAATGGACATTATTACATGTGAAATGATTTAGGTGGCTTGTGAGGGATGGAGCAGAGGACTAATAAAGGGGTGTGGATATGCTCATCAAATACACCTAAAGCTGTTGGTAATCTTGTTACACAGTGGAGAATTTCTTATTTCTGATTTATGCTTGTTTTAATACACAGAATAGGCATGCATTTTGCATAATTGACTTATTAAACTTGAAGAACACCTGTAGTCTTAAACAAAGGCAAAAATACAACTATCTATACCCAAGTGACAGAAAATCAAGTCTAAAACAACCTGATTAGCATCTTTCTTTTGTACCAGTGCTTGGGTATAATTACTGATTCTGCATTCCATAAAGAGGCTCGGTTCTCCTGTTTAACTTATTAGACACATGAAGTGAAGTGCACATTCATTTAGTCACTCCTGACAGGATGATTGTTAGTAGCTGCATCTGGACATCCGCAAGCAGGGAGCCAGTCATAAGGTGCCGAGGAGACACTGCTTCAATTATCATAAAATTAGTTTTGGTTTGACAACAGCTGAGCAGGTAGATGCAGGTCAGTGGCTGTCCAGCACCTGTCCATATTCAGAAAGGGAATACTGCTGAGGCAACAGATACCAGTTTGATTGCATTTGCAATTCCTATGTGTGTGTACATGTAGTTTAGATGAACACTACACACAGGTAGAGACACACACAAATATGCTTGCTTGAATTAAATACACAATCCTAAAGAGTGGTCAGAAATATCTATATAGCTTTTGTTTTTGTTTTAGCACAACAGATTAATTGAAAGGAAATAAAAGTAGACATAAATAGAACAATGGTAAAGTTTTACTAAATATATACAAAGCCTGTTTCATATTTTTTCAAGGGGATCAACTTATGTGCAATCTCCATGATTGTAATTTTCTACAATATTGTACGGGACAGTAGCAGTGGAGGATGGTGGAATTTTCACCAGGAGGGGCTATAAATTCAAAATAGTCCAATACCAAAAACCAATCAAACGCATACCAAGTTATCACACCAGTATATTTATATGAATCCCAACAACAACAAAAAACATAATTTCATGTACAGGTTTACTTTTTGTACATAAATCTTGCCCTTCTTAAGCTTTGCGAAGGCAAATCTGTGTTATGCATGGTCCAATATTGTGTTACAGACCTAAAAAATAATGAAATAATGCACCAGTTTAATGATGGAGAAGCTCTTAGTCAGCTTTATATTTTTTTAATATATAACAAATATTTACTTTCTGAGAATGTGTTGATTTAACAGTACCTATGCAAATAAGCAAAAATCTAGAAAATGTACACTATATTAGATTATTTTCCATGTGAATCCCAGATTGTTCATGCTTCTATCTAAAATCTAAAATCTATCTAAAAGGTCCTTTAATTAATTGATTCTATGATTGATTGATTGACTTTATTGATCTCACAGTGGAGAAATATACTCATTGTCATTAAAAACCTGTAAATCAGTCCTACCTGTCTTTATCCATGCTGGGTCAGATCCTGACGTTTGAAAAAAGAGGCAGGGAAAGCAGAATAAAACATTAGCCTCACTGCATGCAGTTAGCCAAGCCTTGTAGCTAAACCGGGTCCTGGAAAAAGACAAAGCATACCGTCTCCATCTGTCTTTGGACTACTGATTAATTTTGATGTTCAGCTGATCAGGTATAAACACTTTTCCCCCCACCTTCTCTCGGTAAGTTTACTTTAAGGGATTTCACTTCAGCGACTTAACTTTTCAATCAGCAGCAATACGACTGTAAGGACAGTTCCTGTCAGCCCAGGGCGAAGCTCTATTGTGCCCCGAGCTCACCTATCCTTTTGCATTGCAGAGGAGCTACTGCATATCTACAACTTTTAACAAGAGTCTATGGCCAAAGATTTTTGCGCCCTTGGGCAGAAATATGTCACCAATCTGATGACGAACGAAACAGCTTTATTTGTCATTAACGGTTAAATATTTATCTTGCACATCTAAAAAATATATTATTATATTTTGAAATATTTTAATTTTATAATTACATTTTTTTTTTCTATATATCTTAAGGAAGGTCATTGGGTGGGTGGGGCGGTGCCCTGGTGCCTTATACCGACCGGCTGCCACTGGACAGTATTGTAATTTTGCTACTGTTCTATGTAATATTGTAATAGATAGCTTAGCTTGGTGGTGAGCTCCCCCTAGTGGTCTGGTGTACTTCCATTGCTTTTCTTTTTGGTATTTAGAGCATTTTTCATTTTGCTTCTCCCTGTTTTCCACTATTTCCACTAATTTACAACTTTTGCAGCATTTTTCAGTTAACCTTTTTGTTTCTATGTTTTGGAGTCTGTGACACCTTTGGCTGCTTGGTGTGCATTTGTACCTTTTGTTCACCTTAACTTCTTATTATGAATGAAATAATTATTGTGTTTTATATTTGAATCAGTGAAGGGGGCAAATGGTTTACATTAGTTGGAAAGAAAATTACTGGCCATAGACAACTAAAGAACACCAGCAGAAATGTTCCATATGAAAACATGAATTATTAGGAAAAAACAGGTTCCAAATTTGACTAGCAATGCTCTTGATGACCTAACTGTAACACAAATCGTTATAGAGAAGTACTTAAAAAAATGAAAGAAATCATACTAATATCATCAGGACAGGAAGCTTCCAAACAACAGTATATGCAGATGGATTTTACAGTAAACATGATTTTTCAAGACTCTTTAAAACCCCAAAGAGATCTGTGAATTAGACCTGTGCAATATTCGAAATAATCTGTCTAGTTGTGAAATGTTGACTTTCATGCACATAAGAGATCATATTTCAGCTACAGATACAATTATCCATTAGTATCAGCTGTTTGTATCAAAGAAAAACAAACAAAACAAAAATACCACAGAAATCATGAAAGTCAAAAAGTTAATGATGTAAAGAAATCAATTATATAAATAATTTATCTGAATGTGCCGAAAATAATCATGTACCAAAATATTTCCCATTAGGACTAAAGAATTGAATTATATAACCAGATTTCCATTTATTAATGATGACAAATTTTTGCAGATTATTGATGTAATTATAAAGCTATTGATTTTACAGCAAAGCCATCATGGAAAATCATTTCCATGATGGCATCATCATTTGAAAGACAACGGGTTGTTCTCATCAACAATCTTCCGATGTCTCATTCATCGGGGCCAGACTAAATAACACATTTAATCTCACATTTTGTCTGGTTTATCAGCCTAGTAAAATCAGGAATTTTTGGGTAAATCATTGTATCTAAAGCAGATGATAGTGCAGCAGGATCTCTTTAATCATTGCTCCTTTCTGTAAATACACTATAATTATCTACCACTATTGCAAGGTTGAAATAAAAAATATTAATTGCAATGTTTCATCCAAGCTGTTGCTCACCTTTAAATGTTAAGAAACAATTAAGAAGACATATTATGACAGCTTATTATGGCCGATTAATTTACTTATCAAACACGCAGCTAATTATTTGTCAATGAAGCAAAATGCATGTTCTTTATTTTCCAGAATAGAAGCCGCCACCTTTTCTGACACTTTGAACAAAGCCCTCAACAAACCAAAACTAATTTTGCTTCCGATTTAACAGAAATTTGTGTCTCACGAGGTCATGGCGTTTAGCACTCATTAAAATTTACTGGGGATGAACACAAACAACACGATTTTTTACAAGAGGGCTTGCGTAGCTGCGACTGAGATAGACCTAGGTCTATTTATTCAGGATACGCAGCAATTCAGCAGTAATGTAATGGGTCTGACAGAAATACAGGCACAGATACAAGGTGAAACATGTCTGCTTTGGTGAGAAATCCAAAGTAAAATTTGTCAATCACATGGAAAACGGTCATGTTTAGAGTTGCACAGCACATGCATAGTAGACAGGGCCAGACTATAAACTATCAAATGGATGTGCGGCTTTTCTGTTGATATTCTCGAACCGCCAGGG